AAACCCCAAAGATCATGCATGATCCTACGCAGACGCTACACAGCGTATTCGGAAATGCCAACCGATTTTAATGCCCCAGCGTTCGCCACCTCTGCTTTTGGTCGAAGTGGCCTTTTGGCTGAAATCTGATATTCGTCGTCATAGCTGGGCATGGAGAGGAGTTCCTGTGTGGCGTTTTGATGTGCTCTGTTCATGCTAATGTGCAAGCTGGCGAAAAAAAGGATAGCCGTGACTGTGAGGGTGAACCTTTTAAACCCCGACCTCTCTAAATGGGAACACATTTGAGTCGAAAATCCTTGAATTTGTTGGCAAATAGCAGGGAACTGTTGTTTTTCCGGCTTTTTTTATCATCCTGGGATGTGAATTAAAGTTGTTGATTCTGTTTCTCTCTCTTAGGTACATCATCTCCTCTCTCAAACGCTCCAATATGGGCGTTTATCAGTGTGTGGTGAGAAACAGGATGGGCGCTCTGCTTCAGAGAAGAGCCGAGATACAAGTGGCATGTGAGTTGATGTAGATCAGATCAGAGCTTTGCATTGTAGTCTGTTCCTGTTCTATGATGTTGTATGACTTCAGACAACTTGTACAGTTCTGGTCAAAATTTTACATATACTTTGCAGTATCTGCAAAATGTTAATAATTTGACCAAAATAAGAGGGATCATACAAAATGCATGTTGTTTTTTATTTAGTGCTGACCTGCATAAGATATTTCCCATGTTTACATGTAGTCCACAGGAGAAAATATTAGTTGAATTTATAAAAATGATACCGTTCAAAAGTTTACATAGTCAAATATGATCTAGTTATTTGAAATATGCAGGCCTTGGTTTTTTACACTATCGTTCAATCCTGGATGATCCCCAGCTTTTTTTTTTTTTTTTTTTAATGATAGTTCATGAGTCCCTTGTTTGTCCTGAACAGTTAAACTGCCCGCTGTTCTTCAGAAAAATCCTTTAGGTTATCCAGCATCTTTTGAGTATTTGAACCCTTTCCAACAATGACTATGATTTTGAGATCCATCTTTTCTCTCTGAGGACGACTGAGGGACTCATACACAACTATTACAAAAGGTTCAAATGGTCACTGATGCTCCGGAAGGAAAAACCGTGCATTAAGAGCCTAGAGGTGAAAACTTTGAACGGAATGAAGACGTGTACATTTTTATTATTTTGCCTAAATATCATATTTGTTCATGTAGTACTGCCCTTCAGAAGCTACAGAAGATACTTACATGTTTCCCAGAAGACTAAATAAGTTGAATTTACACTGATCTTCAAATTCTAAATGTTTACACCTCCTGGATCATCCAGATAACAACACAGTATTAAGAATCAAGTTTGGGGTTTGTATTACTACAATTTAAAGTAACTGTTTTCCATTTTAATATATTAGTAAATGTATTCTTGTGATGACAAAGCTGAATTTTCAGCATCATTACTCCAGTCTTCAGTGTCACATGATCCTTCAGAAATATTTTAAATATTGAGTGAAGACATTATATATATAATTTTATGGTGCGTTTGCATCCTTTCTGAAGCTTAAAACTCCTCAGTTTTAGTAAATGCATGGGGAAAAGGAAAAGACCTGAGTGATACCTCTTAAAAGTTCCCAGTTATGCTTTGAATAAGGCAGGATTTACACTGAATGAAGAAGATGGCTGTGGTAGAAAAGCTGACTTTTTAGGCTTGGTCCTTTACTCTAGCATTTAAAACATGCTCTAAAGGTTCACACTAACCCAGACTGACTGTTCCAGACACTTCAGCATTTCAGCTCAGAAAAACATTCAGCCATGATGGAGTTTTCACAAAATAGGCCATGTTCATGCTAGTGACAATATGAGAAATAATTCTTGGAAGATCAACTTAAATGACATCTTTCCTCATTTACCCAAAACAAACCAGCAGACAAGATTGCTTGTTAGGTGACGTGTGTAATTTCAGCAGCATAGTCCTTTTAAGGCAAATCAGTTTGCTCCATCTTGTTTGATCCATTAGTTTATAGCACAGTTTATGTTTACATTAGTTTATGCCATGATGTAGTGCTGAACACTTATATTATGTGTTACATGTTTAAAAAAAAAAAAACGTTCCCAGCAGAGTGGTAGGAGCAATACAAGTAGTGGATGGGGACCCATTATAAACATACTATGGGGCTGTTGAATGCTTAAATCTGATTGGTTGACATTCTAAGGTGTGCGATTTTTTTTAGGGAAGCGCAGTGCTAAAGTAATTCCAGGCAGCTTAGACTGCATTACATGTCCATATCACCTCACCAAATGATTTCAGTTATTTTAAAACAGCAAAAGAACCAAAACCCACAACAACACTGACCAAGCAAATATATATAGTAAACCACAAGATAAAAACAACAACTTTCACACAGTTCTAACAGTTTTTTCTAAAAATCTGTCAGGTCAGTGCAAGTTTAGCCAGTTTAGGGATATTGTTTACTGGCTGCAGTTGTTTTTGGCTTTTTAAAACCAGAAATAAGAACTTTTAAACACTTTAAATTGATGTGAAAACTGCACCACTGGAATTGTCACCAAATTCAATGTGCTAGACGTTCTTTTGTTCTGCATGGTGATGCAATCTTGTGGTGCTGTGCGTCATGAATAAATGTTTGAATAAATGTTTCTGATTGAATACCTCTGCAGTTTGTACCCAATACTGAATGTATCATCAGGGTTGCTTTGTTTCGTGAAAAGAAGTTCTCCCATGTTTGTAATAAGATCCCTGACTTTCTTCTCACAGATATGGGTGACTTTCTCGACAATGACCAAAGAAAGACAGTGACACTGGGCCGGGCCGCCATCCTAAACTCCCCAGCAGTCAGTTGCTTCCCGCGGCCACAGGTGACATGGTTCAGGGACGGCTACAAGATCATTCCCAGCAACAGAGTGTAAGTAGAGCTTAATTGCTTGTCTAATCTTTAAACCTGAATGCCTGCTCATTAGGAAAGTTCTGGGTGACCCAGCAAAGGTCCCTGTGGCTTGGGGTTCACGTAAGAGATGTAATTACCTTCAGTGTTCACGCTTATTCCCTCTGGGCATCCATTTACCGTGGCCCACACTGGGAAAAAACAGAGAGACACTTCAGCCAGTGATGCAGAAGACATGGATACTGTGCATGACTTTCTTTGAGTGTGTGCGTGAGTGTTTTTCTCCCACTGCCTTGTCACAGAAGTGCAATTAATGCCTGTTCTCGGCCCTTCTTTAATCTTGCTACGGTAGTTCTTCATTGCCTTTTTCTAATTAGCAGCTCTCCCAGGCTGAGATCGAAGAGGCTGATCCGATTCGCTGTTATCAGTCAAGTGTCTTTCATTCCGACGAGACCCAAATAAAATTCCACCACTGAGACACATCTAATGACTCACCTTTCACTCCACGCATATAGCGGTGGGCCCATTTGAGAATTGCATTTCATTCTGGCAGAAGGTGTAATTGAAAAGTAAGCAGGCTAACGCAGGTAAATTTAGAAATAGACTCTGGGTAGTAATGATTTGCATTCGTTCCGTTTGGCTTCGGGCTTGGATTGATTTGTTACGTCGACGTTCAGGCAGTTTTATTTTCAATGAAAACACTCAAAGTGAGCTGCAGAACTGTGGTCGTGGTTCTGTGATTCTATTTGCACCTGGAATTATTATACATCTCGTTGAGCCGATCACATGTGGACAACCAATCACCATGTGTGATCCAATCAGTCATGCTTCATGAGTAGTCAGAAATGCATGGGACCAAATCACATTTGTTGTGTAAATGCTAATCTATCATGAACAGTTTGCCCTGCCCATTGAGTTCAGTAAGAGATGTTTTTTTTTTTTTGAAAGAAATTAATACTTTTATTTAGCAAGGAAGCATTGAATTTATCAAAAGTGACAGTAAGATATTTATAATGTTGCTAAAAATCAGTTTCAAATAAATGCTGTTCTTTTGAACTTTCTATTCATCAAAAGTATTCTGTTCTATTCCACAACAATATTAAAGAGCGTACTGTTTGCACATTGATAATAAATGTTTCTTGAGCAGCGAAACAGCATATGTAACCCTGGACCACAAAACCAGTCATAAGGGTCCATTTTTAGAAACTGAGATTTATAAAGCTGAATGAATAAGCTTTCCATTGATGTATGGTTTGTTGGGATAGGACAATATTTGGCCGAGATACAACTATTTGAAAATCTGGAATCTGAGGGTGCAAAAAAAATCAACATATTGAGAAAATCGCCTTTAAAGATCTTAGCAATGCATATTACTAATCAAAAATTAAGTTTTAATATATTTACAGTAGGAAATGTATAAAATGGAACATGTTCTTTATCACTTAATATCCTAATGATTTTTGGCATAGAAGAAAAATCTATAATTTTGACCCATACAATCTATTGTATGGGTCTGTGGACGATGCAGTCAACATGGGACTGCATTATGTTCTGCAACATCTAGACAGACCAGGGACTTATGTGAGGATCCTGTTCGTGGACTTCAACTCGGCCTTTAACACTATCATCCCAAACCTCCTCCTACCCAAACTAACTCAGCTCTCTGTGCCCACCTCCATCTGTCAGTGGATCAACAGCTTCCTGACAGACAGACAGCAGCTAGGGAGGCTGGGAAAATACACATTCAGCACCCGTATAATCAGCACTGGAGCTCCTCAGGGCTGCGTCCTCTCCCCACTGCTCTTCTCCCTGTACACCAACGACTGCACCTCTAAAGACCCCTCTGTCAAGCTCCTGAAGTTTGCAGACGACACCACACTCATCGGCCTCATTCAGGACGGTGACGAGTCTGCTTACAGACAGGAGGTTAAAGAGCTGGCTGTCTGGTGCAGTCTCAACAACCTGGAGCTCAACACGCTCAAAACTGTGGAGATGATCACGGACTTCAGGAGAAACCCCCCTGCACTCCCCCCACTCACCATCATCACTGTGATATTAGAATGATTTCTGAAGGATCATGTGACACTGAAGACTGGAGTAATGATGCTGAATATTCAGCTTTGCCATCACAGGAATGAATTACATTTTAAAATATATTACAATAGAAAACAATTATTTTAAATTGTAGTAATATTTCACAATATTACTGTTTTTACTGTATTTTTGATCAAATAAATGCAGGCTTGGTGAGCATAAGAAACTCCTTTCAAAAACATCTAAGAGCTTTTGAGATATACTCTCATATATAACATAATTTAAAGCACAGACCGATGGTCCCAATATGGTCCCAAAATATAAACCCAATATGGTACAGAAATGAATGGATAAAGAGTCAATCATTTGGTTATTGATTTTGTATTAGCTGGGAGAGCCTGAACTATTTATTTATTTATTTATTTTTGCCTGAGCTGGGCTTAAGAAGCACAATTTATGATACCATTGTTATTGGATTTTGTTCCTGATTTGAAATATTTTATTTAAATGTAATTTCAAAAAGAAATTACATAGAATGCAATACTTTCCCAATGAACTGCAATTGCAAGTCTGGAAATTGCTGCAGAGCTGTTACAAAAATGGCCGGCCAATGAACTGGCTTGCTTTACAGGAACTTTCTGGAAAGTGAATAACCGTCAACGACTCCCAGACCATCAGATTTTGAACATATGTAGTTTTACGCATATAACTTGTGTTCTTCTGAAGTAAAAATGTGCATTGGATTGAAAGACATGTTGGAAGGTGGATATATATATATGGGCTCTTTGTAGATGTAGTTAAGGCAGTTGGCTACACGCCAGCTCAATAATTGGACCGGTGCACTGCTCTCCTGCCAGTGCTTTGACAGAATATTGCATCATGACAGAAAGCAGGGGCACATACATAAAATCAATATGCCACTGCTGACAATGTTCTCTGCCGCATATATGCAACCGAGGGAATCTGTACCCTTGGGAGCCTGGCGGTCTTCCCAGACAGCGCTGCTGCTTTGACCCTATACGCAGCCCAGCTGGTGTCTGCGGCATCCAGACTCGAACCCAGAAGCTCACCCAGCCCAGAGGATGGCAGACTAATATCAAGCAATCATACATCCAGCCAAGCCCATTAGCGCACTATTGGATGTGATGTCACATCCTTAATTGTTCTGTGGCAGCGGCTGAAGCAATGCAATCAGCTTAGCCATTTAAACTGGCACTATGTGTTACTGGGCAAAATCCCCAGGATGGACTTTGGGAAATTGGGCTGTACTTCATAAGCACTTGACTGGCACGGTCATTACATTAACTGCCCTTGTAGGATCAAAGTTTATCTATGTGCTAGGATCTACGACCCTGATTCAATATTAACATGGATAAACATGCCGCAGCATAAATCTGTTTGTGAGTCTCGTATGATGTTTCCTTCACAGAACTGATAAATGCTGCTTTGCAAAACACTAATGTTCCTCTACAAAGAGTGGAGTGGAGGAAATCAATGGTTCTTTGTTGAGATGCCCTCATAAGGCTTAATATGCTCAGTACAGACATATAAACTAGTTTGATCAATGGAAAGAAGTACCCAAAATAACAATATGATAAGATAATGATACCAACATGGACTGCAGTCATTCTGCTCTGGAGATTCTGAGCGGTCAACTAGCAGACTATTTCTGTCATATTTGCTGTTTTTTTTTGCATTTGATTAATCAAAGTGATGTAGACCAGATTTTCAACACTAAAATATACAGTGGCCTATTAAAGTATTATAGTACTATGATTAAAAATAGTAGGGTAAGACTGGGTAATTTGCCCCCCGGACTGCACAAAATCTCATCTCAGTACTTTTGATGAATGGCTACACTATTTTTAATTTTGTCATTTCATCTGAATATCAACATTTGTGAGATTTAGTCAGCTGAAACAGTTATTGATCTAATTTTGTGCCCGTGAAAAATAGTGATCTATGACAACGTATTATGTTGAATATCAAAGTTTTATGTGTCTGCTTGTTAATTGGAAATTTATTAACACATCAGTGGTTTTAGACACGTGGAGTAAAAATTATAGTTTTGGTTTTGAAGTGAAAAGCTAAAATTAGACCCTCTCAGGGTCTAATGTAAGAATGCCCTCCCAGAATTGGCACAGAAGGCCTCAAGTTAGTTAGTTGTCACTAATGTTATTATTTTTTCATTTAATGCTTGTTGTAATTAATGGGATAATTAGTCAAAATTTTCATGAATTAGAAGTACATTTCAGAAATATTTCATGATATGGAGCTATATCTTTTCTCAAGAACTAACTTTTCTAACTATTCTCAGCTTTTTTTTTTTTTTGGCAATTACTTGTAACCCAGGTGATTTTTAGTAAATGTGTGAAGTCCTTCATATTATCAATGGACATGGATCATTGAAGGTGTGATCACACTTGACTTTGCTCTTCATTCACCTTCATTTATATGCATGCAAATATGGGAGTAGAGTGGAAACGAATGCAAAAAGGTTTCATGTTTTCTTGTGTACCAAAGTTCAAGGTGGTGAATTCTGACCTTCATATCTGCATAACTGACCAACAGAGCATCTAAACACCACAGATGGACTCAGACTGGTATGGTTTGTGTTGTTGTGGTAGAGCAGATAATATACAGCACCACTCAGTTTTTTCAAAATTTTTGTCTTTTTTTTTGTGAAAGACATTATTACTTAAAATTAATATTAAACTCAGTGGCTGTCTTCAACATTGATAACAGTAAGAAATGTTTCTAGAGCAGCAAATCAGCATATTAGAATGATTTCTGAAGGATCATGTGACACTAAAGACTGGAGTAATGATGCTGAAAATTCAGCTTTGATCACAGGAATACATTATATTTTAAAATATACTAAAATTGAAAACCATAATAATATTTCACAGTATTGCTGTTCTTACTGTATTTTTAGTCAAATAAATTCAGCATTGGTGGACATAAAAGACTTATTTCAAAAACATTTT